AGAGGCCCGTCGTACTGACAGGGGGACAGGACGGGATTCATTCTTATCAATAATTGGCTTGGAACATGATCCAGAATGCCACAATCAGTCACAATATGCAATATCATGACAAAATTAAAAGAAACGTGTAGAAATATCCAAAAGACACTTCACTAGACATTCCTGAAACTTTTGCTACAGTACACACCAGAGGAAGAATGTATTTCATTCCCAGGGCAGGGGCAAGCGGGGCTTGGTTCGACCAACACGGCTCGTGGAACACGGTGCTGCTGGTGTTTGCTCGCGACGCGCGTGGAGCTTCCCAGGAAGGGCTCATGTATGTCACTATATATACCTTGGTGAACTAACAAAATCCTTCAAGCCTGGCTCAGGGCGTTCTGTGGCTGGACGTACGTAGTTTGGCAGCAGGTGGAATCACAGCAGTGCTAAAAGAGAACAATGTCTCCTTTGTTTATTGTTGTTCATGCAATTTTGCCAGCATTGCAGCAATTGCATGGACGTCAGGGCTGTGCAATAGTATGGTACACAAACGGGAAATACACAAATTCGGGACGGAATGGCAGAGAGAGAGAGAGAGACAGACAGCTTCAGCAGCCAGATCGATGGACCATATCTCCTATGCAGTCGATGGCAAGGTGGTGGGCCACTTGACCTCTCACTAATGGAGTCAGAGTGCTTCTCAAAGAAGGCCACAACATAGAGTCCCACAGAGGAAAGGGAACAATACCTATATAGATGTGATGGTGGTCCAATAGATGTGAAGCCTGATTCTGAGGAAGGCTTTGAAACTATTTGACGTTGGCAAGCATATTCCATTCCCGCCTAATCAATCTGTCAGTGCGCCAAGATGTTTTTTGGTTGGTTCTTGCCTGCAAGATGCGTTGCAAGGACGCTTTAGCAGTGAAGAACACGGCTTTCAAATTTCAAGCTCACCATTCTTTCTGATCCTGAACACTGCGAAGCTTGCCAATGGGTGGGGTGAATTGTGATGAATTAATTACTGTACATGCTTGATATAGATGGTATATATTATTTAGTTCATTTGTTGGACAGGCACGTTTGAATTGAGTGTTGTGCTCACTATCCCCACGGCTCAGTTTGATTAAACGGATTGCGCCGATTTCGCACAGCAATGAGTGTGTACCCTCATATGCACCTTACCAAAGCAACGCCAAGACGTGTTTTGTCGTCAAACACTTTGGTCCTGGACCGATGTGGCTCCTTTTGCGACCGATGTGTTTCCTTTCGCATCATGATGGACATCCGCACTGACCGCCAGAGGGTCTCCTGAAAAAGGTAGGATGACTGGCAGCCTTCCCATGTTTCATTCCATCAGGATCGGTGGAGCTTGGCCGGGCTCACCTCAACCTGATGAGACGCGGATGCCAGTGACGATGCCAAGCGATTGGGATGACGCGGCTTCACACCTCCCAAAAAAACCTCAGGAGAGTTTAGAAGATGACATGCATGTTTTTTTTTTGCCCAAGCAGGCTACACGGGATGCCGGGGGGGAGCATATATAATTATATGGCTTCCCTTGGAACATGTTGTGCATACCGTAAATACTACTCGAACACGATGGCACAGTTGCCAAATCTATCGTTTTTAGAGTGAGAAGATGCAGCATCCAGTGAGCGCACAAGGATCGACAGGTGCAATCCACATTTATGCCAGGTGGCATGTGCGGGCTGTGGTAAACAGGTCCGGTGCCCTCAATATTGTCCAACATTTGGTTGTGTGTTTGGGTGCCGGAAGAGATTAGAGGTGTTCGAGACCATGATCACGCGCCTGTTGCATTTGTCCATCTTCGATGACAGTGAACAGCTGCTGCGCCGCCCAAACAGAGAAGGCACCATTGCCTTGCAATTTTCACGTGATGTTTTCATCCGGAGCATCGGCAACTTCGCTTGCTTTTGGACATGCAAGTTATGTATGCGTGCGGGCGGGCGGGAGGACTGTGGTTCACTCACTAGCTGACTAGTGATGTAAAGCAGGGCCCATGTTCCTTTTTCCTTGTGGTCGTGATGGACTCAGAGGAACTCCGCTCCTGTGCTGACTCAGGTGGAGCATCTCATCGACTGGATCCGTGTGGTCCGCGGCACGAGTCAGACCAGCGAAGCAAGCGATGCATCGGTGGCTGTAGGGCAGGGCTTTCAGGCTCGCTGACCGGGGGGGGGTGCCCGTGTACCGGTGCCCGTCAACATGTCAGGATATGTCAGGTGAAAGATCTATTCAACTTCATGTGAGCAACAGGCTAAACTCTCAGATCTCTTCATGTGACTCTAGTTCGCACATGGTTGATTCCACACCCAGAATGCACAGGTCTGAAGTCTTTTTTTTTCCGACAGGTCAACCGGGAGATCCGGACACATCGAGGATGAGGCTCTGGAGTCGAAAGTGTCAAATTCTATATGGCGGGGTCAAATGATAGTTTTTATTTGGATTCTAGATAGATGACGCATATATATATATACGAATATATGCATGTGTACACATGTGTACACATCACATGCAAAATGCAAAATCAATCCGGCTGAAATGCATATAGATGTTAATCCAGGATATCTATGTAATTATAACAATTCGTCCTCGGATGGCCAGCCTTGTAAGCATCAAGCAGAACCATAAATGTTCAAAGTCTTGCGCCTTAGTCTCGCATACCCCAACCCAGAACTTGCAAGTTTGATATAACGGCTTGACTGAAACGGTCGTCACGATCACCACTGTTTTTTGGTTACTGTAATCATCTTGAACGAAAGAATGTGTCCGATTGAGTACTTAAAAACATGCCCCGTCACATCAGATCCAGTTTCAGGCCCTGTGGATGTCGCATGTCTCACGAAGTCCTGGACACAGAAGCAGAGTGGGCCAAAAGAGAGCTGCGCGATGCTGCACGCCACAGACCGTTCGAGGGCTGAGAGACTATGCTTGGAGACTTGTCATGAGAAATATATTGTACATAGTATATAATAGTATAGCTTTTAGACACTCTCAGTGCTTACATATGATAAATAGTCCCGGGAATTCTAGAAACAGTCCCAAGTTCAATTCATTCGAATCTTTTGTGGACAGAAAAGGCACACCTATGGGACCTACAGGGGGGATTCCGGAAGAAAGCTGCGAGTTTCAGAGCCTCTCCCGCACATGGCACCAGAAGCAGGGTAGAAGTTTTGCCACGGTTGTCATGTTGGTGTGCTTGCAGAATGCCTGCCGACTGACTGAGATTCCTTAAGGTCTTGGAGGCGGATTTGAAGCAGTCCTTGGTATTCGAATGGTGTTCGACACCTGCCTGGTTCCACCAAAGCCAGAAAACACTTCCTAACGCAATACGTGATGAATGCATGATCACAAAAGTAGATCAGAAGAAAAACCAGCACACATGCAGATGCAGGGGCCCTCACACCTGCAAAAGAGATGCCATTGCTTCGGAGGTGTCGCTGCTTCGAAGTGAGTGTCAGCGGCTCATGGACCGCTTTTCAGTGCCTGATGAATACTTTTGGCATGTGGAGGGGCCGGCAAATCCTCCTTGCCCAAAGGAACCCAGGCTTGTAGGTTTGGGTGTGTCTACTTGATGGATGCTGTGGTTTCCAGCTTTTGGACACTGCCACACATGTGCTTTTACATAAATTATTGTAATTGAATATTAATTGTCTTTTATACTAGCTGTGAATATACTCTATGCGCGTTGAGCCAGAGAGGTGTGACATTGTTCATTGTTCACATGAGTATTTGGTTTCCTGGCATTTGATCTACCATTTCGCATCACCTCATGTAGAATCTTCATTTGTTTTGACATGTTCTATCTCCCATGAAGGGTTCCGTGTGTGGTGCGTGGAGGACCTGAACAGCGGTTTGCAAGCGAGACTGCATCAGAGAGGTGCCGTCCTCTGGGTGCCGTGCCTTTCGATCCTGTTCTGCTTGGAGTTGTCCACCTTGTGTCCCAGAAGCATTGGGGGTCCATATACCGACCTCTTGGACCGATGCATGTCTTGGACCGCTCGGCTCTTTTTCGGCCGATGTTGCTGACTTCCAATGTTTCTAGTTTCTAGATGTTTCTAGTGGCATCCGGAGGCAGGAACGAGCCAACAACCCAAGTTTGGGTGGGTGTTGCTGGAATTTGCTGGCGACATTTGAGGACTATGACATTGCCCTCAGATTATGACTTATACAGATTGTGTTAAAACAGCATTCATCGTACATCATATCATTTATATATGTGGGATTGTTTCAACTGGGGGTGTTTCCTGCTGCAGGGGTTCTCATTAACTTCCATTTGTATATGATTATATACGTTTCATTTATGATGACTTTACCTTTGTGGACGGTAGTGGGATCACTTAGAGAACAGTAGAGTCATAACATTTTGGAGCTACTTCGCCCCACAGAGCATTTCACGTCTTTGTCCACAGTCACTTTGTCTCTTGATGAGACACGTTTGGTTGCCATGCTGTTTTGTGCTTGGAAGAATCGCCCAAGATGTTCGACAGAGCATGATTGAAGTCCCCCAGTATCCATGAATGATAAACAGCCCATGCTGATGCCACACCTGCCAGCTAGTCACAGCAAGTGCAGGAAAAGTTCTGAGCATTGGTCTTGTTTGGACGTTGGGTGGTGCGAGGGCCAGGTGGCTTGTAACGCGTCATTTTGCTGCACCAGAGCGACTCGGCCCTCGTTGCAGGTGCCGACGGGGAGGATGCTGGGCTCCTGGTGTGAGCCTGTTTTGTGCGATCAGACGACCAGCTAAAGGATTGATGCCTTGCACTTATGTTAGTTGCTTGCAAGTGTGCCTTTGATTTATAATGAGCGACACCATAAGCAGCGGCTCGCAGCCAGCGCATGTTAAAGCAGAGTCATAGTACAGTGTTAGTCTCAAGTTTCACGACAGTGACTGGCTTTGCATGTGCCGACGGAAGTCATGCCTTGACTTTAGACTAGGCTGCTTTGTAATGATATATCTTAGTTCTTTAGCAGATTGGCAAGTCAGAACATCAGCCTGGCACATGTCTGGCCATGATCTACCGGCCATCGCTTCCAGTTGGCCACAGCCCTTGTTGGAAGAGGCCCGTCTTGGCCAACCGCTGCCCCGCTGGGCCCAGCGGGAGCTCCACTGTGCCAAGACCGCACCCGCCGTTTCTTCACCGGCCGAGATGAGGCCGTGTGACATGCGGAGCCTGAGTGCAACGGAGTTTCGAGAACCCTTGCGCTTGGTGTCCATCTCCCAGGAGGAGATCTCCATCTCCCACATTTGTGGGCAGATCCGCAGCTTGGGGGAGCAGGAGTTCCGAGAAGATGCACTGGAGATCGTGGACGGAGGAATTTGGACGGCCACCGCCCTCATGGATGCTGCAGACCTGCTGATTGGCTTTGTGGTCTATGGCGTGCTTCATGGTGCCATGTCTTTGCGCTACATCGCCATTACTCCTCAGGAACGAGGCAAAGGCCATGGGCGTCGACTAGTACAACATGTATGTCAGCGCTGTTCAGAACAGAAGGTGGACAAGGTGACGTTGTTTTCAAAGAGAGAGCTTGTTTCATTCTACAAGGCCGTGGGCTTCGAAGAGGCTCCAGAGCAAGATGGTGACTCAGAGGATGACCTTCAGGTGCCGTTGGTGATGTGCCCCCTCCAGCTGGGGGCGGCCACAGAAGGCCCAGGCTCAGGCTCTGCACCCAAGAAGGTGCTGGAGGACCTGGGATCTTCACTGAAGGAGGTAGCCATTTTCCGATGATGCTATCTTTGTCTGCCCTCTTAGCAAGATCGGGCAAGTCATGCAAAAGACATGTTTTGGATTCTTGCACAAGGAAGCATTATTGAATATTGACTCATTGAGTGTAATATAGTGTAATGTACTCCTGCTCTCTTGGTGTGACCCGCGAGCCGACTTGGATCCACTTGGTGAGCGAGCCTGAAAATGAATGAAAATGATAGTCCGATCAGGAATGACTTAAACTATCCGGAGAGTGCCTCTCCACCAAGGCGCAGAAGAGCATGTGATGCATTGGATACGATATGTTCAAGAAGAACAACCAATATATAGCATCAATACCTGAATTCATGTGGAATTTCTCTGTGAGATGATGCGCAAGTTGTGACATGTCATTCTTGGATGTCCATGCCGCTTCGCGTTCCTTCTTTTCTCGACCTGAGGGCTTACACGAGCTCCGCGAGGCCGGCGACTCCCATCCCGCCGGGGTGTGGACGGACCATCGGACCCGGGTCGATAGCACCCCGATGGTCAAGCTGCTTTGCTCGAGCTGCACGGTTCGTGGGATATACAGGGTCCATGGGATCGATTGGGATCGTCTTCCACGGGGTATATACATGCATGTAAGTACTGCACCAGGGGCCATTCTTCAGGTGAAAACCTGTTAAGTATTGGATGAGACATGTGCATGTTTTGATTCGTTGTATAAATTTATGTGACCCACCAGTGGATATCCCATCAAAAGATCATGCATGCAGTGAGGAAAGACCTCGACTGCTTTGGCTCGATTCTGTGAGAAAGCTGTCTAGCAAATAGCTACTAGTAGCTTCTTGTTACTAGTAGTAATGCCCTTGTTACTAGTAGCCTAGTAGCGATGCACTTGTTAGTAGTAGTATATATTATATATTGTTATTCTAATTCCCGTATTTTAGTTTTGGATCAACCTCACAAGGTCGGCAGTGCCCCTGAAGAGGCCATGGAGAAGCTCAAGTTCCAGAATCAGCAGCTTCGACAGGAGCCGCCTCTCCACTTCGCCCCGCGCCCGATTTGTTCTCCGCTTCGGATCTGGGAGGAGCATCATTGGGACCAGGCCGAGACAGTAAGGAAAACACATCGTTAATTAATAGCTGTATATACCTAGATTATCCTAGATTTATAGCGTTGGTTGTTGTAAAGATGGTTTTAACAGGTTTTAAACATCGATTCACGGGGTGCCAGAGGCGTCGAAATGCTTTTGATGAGATCATTAAATGCGCTCAATGATTATGAACCCAAACCAAGTGAGCCCGCGAGTAGCGGCACCAGGAGTTGCGGCCACACGCCACGAGTAGCGAGCGCAGCGCGCTGCGAGGCCAAAAAAGATGTAGGGTGCGAATTTGCTGAATGAATAGACGACCCATTTTGGATTGAACTCCCTGAACCAGACCTCCCCAAAATATATACCTAATTATGATTCATCGTGGATACATATTGCAAGATATATATATATAGTCATGTTAATTATATACATATAACAGTATATATATATATTTATAGTTATATAGTTATATAGTGATTGACCCAACAGTTCTCAGTTTCGGTTGGATGTAGCTGGAGCTTGGTTGCGTGGAAGGAGATGGGCAATTGGACCCGAATACCCCTGTCGCTCACACTAGAATTAACAAAAAAAACATAAATGGGTGTTACAGCACACTCTCAAATGGTTCTATCCACATGAAAGCTCTCGGGCAAAAAGCTTACACCTGGCTGGCTTATGCCCTCCCCTGACCTGCAAACTTCGTACGGCCATAGGGGGTGTTAACGTGTTTTAACGTGTTCAGTGGGGAGGGATGGGAAGGATTGTTTGGAAACTCCTGGGTGCCCTTGTCTTGAACATCAGGATTCTAGCCATGTTCTCTCCTTGGGTAGCAGCTCCAAGCTTCACAAGGACCTTGCGAGGATGTGGTTTTGGTGCAAGATACGTATCTATGACACTATGGCAGTGCTGAAGGCCACCCACCAACCTACCACTCACTGGAATCAAGAGAATCATATGCGAGAGACTGTGCATGTTTCATTCGACCTGTACACTAGAAGCAAACGTCATGTTTCATCAATATAGACAGGGCAGCTGGCTCAGGTAACCCAGAAAGAAATATTGGGCTTGGTGATAGACTGTTTAGCCTATACTTCCGGCCAATAGGAATGCTTGCCGCTGCAGGTCAGGTTCCAGCAAGCTTGGCTCACACCATCTCATGGAAAGCAGAGCATTCAAAACATAACGTTCTAGATCGGGCACCTGAGGAAGCAGCCAGACTGTCAGGGTATCCAACAGCACCAGGTCTAGTGTTTTTTTTCACAATCGGCATGGACGCCGTTGTTGGGATAAAAGAGTGATTTGTGTCCTGTTGGCAGCAGGTTCCAAATCAACCTAGGGTTAGAAGTCAGGATTGCTGGGGGTCATTCTCAGGTAGCATGCAACCGTGGGGGCCGTTGAGTGCCCATGGCAGAGGAAGGTTTGGAACCAAGCTGGAGACTTTGCGGAACCCTGCGCTCAAAGGCTTTTTTCATAGAAACACCGTTTTGAGATCTTTTGAGTTTGAACTTCAACTTTTGAGTTTGGTTTTATGATAGGCACCTATGGCTTGCCATAAGGCCATCGGCCATACCTTGCGAACTAATCTGATGACCTTCGATCGTGAAGTTTGCATCGGATTCATGGTGAACTTCGGACCCCATCCATGCGGAACAAAGAGAGCCATTTTGAACATGAAGGAGTATCATATAGTATGTATATACGAAGATGTTCCATTTGGGTTTCATTCAGGTTCCCGGCCTTTCCCAGCGTTCAGAGAGTGGTTCAGTGCAATTCAGTCTCCTTTCTTTCGACGGTCGTGGGACGCAACCAGTTTCAGGTCCCATTCTGGAAGAGCTGAAGGCATCGGCGACCTGGGGGAAAAATCCTGCACACCAAATGGATAATATCTCCGCCCCTTTAACCATCAAAACTGGGATAGGGAGACCCAACATGTACAGCCTGCAGGTGAGATGTCGGAGCATATGCAAGCAGTGCTCCCACTTTTCACAGCAAGGACTCACTGTCCGGACACCACGCTTTTGCAGCAACAGATTGGTGTTTGGAGTGGCAGTCTTTGGGGTTTCTTGAAGGTTAGTTCGGGTCGGACGCCGGCGGCTCGATGGTTTTGTGCTAGGCGCAGGCTCAGTCCTTGGCCTCCATTCGCCGGACGAGGCGGACGGCGTGTCTTAGAGCCACCGGAGAGGCACCCCTTTTGGAAGAGACTTAACAGTCATGATTTTTGAGACCGAACACCGCTCCGACCTTCGCGATTCGCTCCAGCGGCTCAAGAGATCCAAGTCAGAGCGCTCCGCTCATCGACGTGAGCGACACGACGATGAGCGAGCTTGATGAGCTTTTGGCCGATCTGACGCTGGAGCAGCGCGCCAAGCTGCGGCAAGCACTGCAGCTGCTGGAGGTCCGGTGCAGTTGTGTAGCCAGCAAAGACGCTATTTGGTGGAGGCCATCACAAGTAGGTTGGAGGCTGGAGGCCGTCGCTAGTAGGAACAAGAAGCTACTAGCAGCAAAGTCAGCATTCAAAGACCCTATAGGGAAGATGCATTTTGGAATGGATGTGCCGGTGCCGCCCCGAGTGTACACCCGCCATGTAAGGCAGCCGCCCAGCTGATTACGGTTCGATCTAGCGTTTTGCGTGAGGTCCAGGGTGCCCACTAAAGGCACCCAAAGGCTGCAAACACCAGTGTGCCACCTCAGATTGGGAATCTCCAAACGTCTCCAAACTGCGGCCACCTGGTCGGGCCTGAAGCTAGGACTCTCCAAACGTCCAAATCATGTTGATCTTTGATGAATATACACCCATGGAATAATGTTTCTTTTTATATCCCTGCACAAATTAATATTTTCCTGCACAGATAAATAAAGGCCACCAGAGGAAAGCTTATTTTTTTCTTGGAGGGGTAGTTGTCGGATATTTTGTTTGCTATAGTTATAGATTAATATGCTCCCTTTTGGTGTGCAGCTGTAAAAGAACATATTTTTTCTAATTGATCTGCTGTACTCACCTTCTATTCCTTTACTTATCCTAAGCTCTGGAACCTTTAAGCTTTCCAAACACTTCCAACAGTTTGTACGCACTTTGTTTTTATATTCCAGATGTCTTCAATCTGAGGTTTCATTGGTTCCTTTTCAGTTTAATATTCACCAGATTTCTTCAAAGTTAGGTTTCTTTACTCCCTTCATTTTTAATATTGCCAGAGATAGCTAAGTAATGATTCTAATTGTTTTGATCAATTGATTATAGTTTTCTAGTATATTATTCTAGAGGCCTTGGTTGTTGAGGGGGGTTGATTAATCAAGAGTCAACATTACCTCAGGAAGTCACAAATCCTGGCGGGTTTTGTCACCAGAGGCGGACAAAGCGAACGAAATTCCGCAAGAGCAGCTTGACCTGGCGGAGAGCGCTGTCCAATGCCATCGCAGCGAGTTTGTCATCGAGGATGTGGTTCGGCAGACCTTTGTGAACGGCGACAAGCTCTTCAGGGCAACACCTTTTGCAGAGGAAGTGCGGCAACAGATTCCCGAAGTGGCCTGACCTGCAATAAGTGGCTTTGGATCACAAGGTGCCCACCGCCCACCAGTGATTGATTTAGTAGGGAGCCTGCACATTCGAGGCGAGAATGAGCTGTCCAAAATCCACGCTGGGTCGTGCAGGTGAGGGCTTATCATACTTGTACTTGCATGATTTCTATTGTGTAATTACTGTAGCTCCATGGAGGTCCATTTTTTCATGACCTTCGAGTCCCCAAAGGCTGGCACTCGAAGGGGGTCCCTAAAGGCTGGTGCGAGCTGACTGCTTGCCCCGCCTCATTGCCCCCTGGACCCCTGGTAGTTGGCGTGGTGTTGATCGTACTCGGTGGATGCACCATGTATACCTTAACCATCCTTAACCTGTTAGGCAATGGCCTCGGAAAAAGGAACATCCCTTGGATAGGTGGCTTTGGTAGCTTGTACTTTGGTTATTGATGAATTTACCTTAACATGATGGTTTGAAGGATGGCATGCTTTCAAACATTTGTCGCTCCAAGCAGTACTTCTTGTCATTTCCCGGGACTTCCAGACTCAGCCAAGGTGGACTTTTTGGAGTTGGCCGAACCACGCTCTGCGGTGACGACACTTCCCAGCGTGGTGAAGTGGACTGAAAGCAACTTCCCGGGATACGTGAAGATCTTGGGTTCCGTGGTGGATGACCGTGAGAAACCCTTGAAGGAACGCAAGGTCATTGGACTGATCTACGAGGTGAGGGTTTGTCTAGAGGTCTATTCTGGGCGTTGTTTATATTTTTTTGGTGATGTGAGATGCACAATTGCATTTCAATCGTCAGGATTCAGGATACCTGTTTGTCAACAACTTTTAAAGCTGTTGTTTTGACACTACATCACTACACTATACTACACTACTATACTCTACGGCCTTCATTTTTGGACCCGGTCATGCTGCAATTCATTTTGACACCATGATCCAGGTGGCAGCTGACACGCTGCAAGCTTTGATTGAAAAATCCGGAGACCTTCGCAATGATCATCGAATGTATTTGGCACTGACCAGCTTCCAAGCATGGCATCACAGCTTGTACTATGGCCCTTGTCTTTCTGTCTTCACTCTTGAAAATGTGGTTGTGAAGGGCAATGAGTCGCCAGGGGCGACTCATCCGTTTTCAGCTCAACTTCGCTTGCAGTTCCCCACTGCTTTGTATGAAGAAGCCATGGGCACAGAGACCTTGGACACCAATGTCCTGCAGTTGGCGGATGTTTTGTGGTTTGTTTGCCACGGGGATGCCCAAAAGCTGAAGGAGATGCCCAGGCAGGAAAAACCCATTGATGGTGAGCAGATGTGGAAGTTCTCCTGCCAGAAATTCTTGAAGTCACTGTATGAGCAGCAAAGCAAAATTGTAACAAAGTCAGAGCATTTGGTGGTGAAAATGCAAAGGGAACTTGCAGAAGTCCAGCAGCACTTCTCGGAACTGTGATCAACATTATGTGCGTTTCACGACCTCTGAGTCTTCGTGGACGATACGTCGCGAAGCTGCGAGGTGCCACTTGTGACAAATGGAGAAGCAAGCGAGCAACTTGTTTTTTTTTTTTCTCATGTTATAAGTTATATAATGTCCAGCAATGTGCAGGATATGTCTGAATAGAACATGATTAAGACACCTTCTAAACAACTTCAATTGCACCTTCTATTTGTTGCGCTTGGATCTGCAGAATTCACGCCTTTGACCTCCCAATTCACCGCTCGGGGTACGGCTCCCATCCCAATTGAACCCACTTCTGACAGCGGCGACCTTGCCAGGTCCATCCAACGTGCCGCCGCTCCATCCGAGGCTGACCGGGGTGCTTGGGTGATACAGTAGGCTGTGGAGATCGGTTGAGGATCTTGAAGTTCTTGAGAAACCGATATACTGTACTAGGTATATATACTAAGTCCATAACCTTCGTGCGAGAAAAACCGAGATCGTGGTTGCTGCGATGCGGGGAATAAAGTGACACTCCATGCAGATTCTTCGTAGGCCAAACTTTGTGTAGACGGAAGGAGCGAGACTGAAAGGTGTTCGGGGCAAAATCCTGTAGCTTAATTGATCATATAATACTTGTACCGTAGGTTGGCCAAAAAGAAACGCATGGCCGTTGGCGTAGCCGAGACACCTTTCAGATGTCCAAGGAAGACAGTGGGTGACCCTGAGGTTGGAGTGTGACACTTCTTCCAGGAAGACACGTTACACGCGGTGGTAAGACTGTTTCAAGAAAACCCATGTACCACCACCCTGAGACCACACCAAGGTCACCAATGTCCACGGATTTGGTATGCTCGGATGCGGGGTGAAACATGAGAACATTCCCAGGTGGGAACCTTTGCTTTTCTCGCCATGTTGACCCAAATCATCTCAAATCCTCAAATGACCGCTTTCTGCGCCACCTCCAAACAGACCATATGTGAGCCGCGCTAAGAACCTCCCTGTTCATGTTTAGTAGTGGGCTTGTCATATGAATCCTTCGTGTAAGCAAAACTCTGATGTGCGTAAGGTTGCGTAAGCGTTTTTTGTGAGATGAAGCTTGCGTAAGCCGCGTAAGCAAGTCGAAATTTAACATACCATATCACATGTATTCTTGAAATGTTTGGAAATTATAGGAGACCTTTGTTGATGAAGCCTTGCATTGGATCTTTTTCTTGGCAATTGGTATGGTCGAAGGTGATTGGCTCCACAGAAAGAAGGGTTCTTGGGGTTCCTGTAGTCATTTATATACAGGACATAGGCATCAGGACAGAGATTTTGTGGGTCGACACATGCAAACATTGCTCCTATAGCCATACAAACAACTCCCGTAGCCATAAAGTCTACCAGCAGTTGTCAGACACACTATGTCACCATGCAGTTATCGGTTTTGGTGTCGGTAATACGCGTAAGGCGCGCGTAAGCTTCGCGTAAGCTGCGCGTAAGCCCCCCTCTCTTTTAGACGGTGGCCCACGATGCCTCCTAAAAAGCAGGCTTTTTCTGACTCGCAATGGCGCCAAAGGCAACGCATTGTCCAGACCATCTACGAAATCCTGGCTTCTCACTGCCCTACACCCGCGGACGTAACAAACCTGTTGTGTGCTGTGCTTTGCTTGGAAAACAGATGGCGCGAAAGCTGGCGCTGTGGCCGGGTGCAAGATTGTGTTCGCGTAAGTGTTGCGTAAGCCCCTTTGTGTGCAAAGTGTGCGCGTAAGCTGCCATTGTGGTGGCGTAAGCCAGGCGTAAGCTGCTGCGTAAGGAAAGTCTTACGACATAGGCAGATGCCACACGTTTTGAGCACAGCTCATGTACTCTTGGGAAGAGCAGTTAGACGCGACCACCATCGACTTTCAGGCGGCGCCCAACTCAGAGCCCGGCCTCGGATTGGGCAGTCCGTCGCAAGAACTCTCCCGGTCGGTGGTGGGGGCCCTGGTCGGAGGGTCGGGCTCGGACCCGGGTCGATTCGGGGCTCGGGAGTGAACGGCTGGAGGTTTTGAGTGACCAGCTTCTGGCAGATGCTGCCCATTGTAGTCATAAGCTATATTTCATTGGGTTCTGTGAACATGCATGAACATTCTGATTTCCGAGGGTCCTCCAAAATGACTCAGCTCAGGTGCCAATTCCCACTGAGGAGGATCTGGCGCTGGCCTCAGGTGGTGCCGAAAGAAAGATCAAAGATGTGACTGAAACTGTCCAACTCAGGAGGCAGGGGGGGAAGACAATACCTGTGCATGTATGATACAGCATCCATGACCCATTCAGTGTTTGGTCCTTAGATACCACAAGGAGCTCCTTGTTTCTCAAAGTGTTTGATACTTCATCCTGCCGGTCCAGCCTGCTTTGCTAGCATTTGGTCCCCATCCTCGTGAGCGCTGCCAAGAGCCGCAGGAAGCCCTCAGTCCCAGATTCAGCTCTTCTCAGCACGGGGTCCCTGAGGAGTCGTGGTGCCAACAGATGGGCCGTGGATAGCTAATTAGAGGAATGACCGGAGTGGAGGATGAGGTTGATTTGGTGGGATTGTTGTTCTGTGAGAAGGATCCCCCAAAATGGTGGTGCAGGCTCTTGAACCAGGCAAAGAGCCAACAACAACCTGAGATCAGCCCAGTGATACTTCGTGGAGGGCAAAGCAATTCAAAAGCGAGATTCTAGGCAAAAACGCAACATGATGTTATATGTATATTAATGTGATCCATTGTGATCCTAGGTATTACTATGTTTGGGTCACTCTGTTGTCTCAAAAATCCTCGGATGTCAATCATTCCAGAAGCTTCGCCACTTCTTTTTCCAGGCTTGGAACTTTGGCCTTGCCTTCGAGCCAAGCACGAGAACGGCACATTGTGTGACGAAGGAATCTCTCCTTCCTCAATTGTCACCCGAACACTGTCCCACCACCGCCCCAAGCGAATACATAATATACATGTGGGGATCTACTTCCAGTGTATTGAATTTGGGGCGTCATGGACCAGGCGCCATCCATCAACCAGTTTGAGACCGTGTTATTCTTCGCCCCCAACGGGCGGCGGCCGTTGGCTCGAATCGGGCGTATTGGGAGTCCTCGATCACGGATGGCTGGTGAGGAGCTGAGTGCTGGGAGTACCAGCAGAGTCCACCCGGTGGCTTAAGGAGAGATCCCCGACAGCAACCTCGCCTGAGGTTTGAGTGTCTTCAGGGGTTATTTTGATTGTCACATCGTATAGGTGCTGAGCTACATGTTATTGATATTGTGTATAGTTTTGTTGTATTACATACATATATATATATATATATTTTTTTGTTAATTTACCAGGCTACCGCCTGCAGCCGCCGACCCCCAAGGGATAGAACCTTAGCGCTAGCCTTGCTTTAGCCAGAGAGATTTAGCCGTAGCCTTTAGCTTTAGCTTGAAGCCAGACGGCCCCTAGCAAGATTGCGACGTGGCTTGTTCAACATCTTGCTATCCCAATTGATCTACATCATGGGGTTTTGTTGTAGAAGGGAGTTGTAGGATGTCAAAGGAGGTTTTAGTTTCCCAGGTCTGCGTAGAAAATTGCGAACCTATTTTCTTCCATTGTTGTAATCATGCTTTTGTTAGGTTTTCGGCTGGATGCTTTTCCAAGAATTTTCTAGCACTTCCTCTTGTATTTAGGTTCCCAGATTTGCCCAAAAATTGATTAACCTATTGTTAACCTGTTTGATTCTAGTGTTCCCGGCCAATGCCCTTGAATTTTCCTAGGAATGCTCTAGGCTTTGTTTAGATTTGCGCTGGACGAGGTCCGGCCAGTGCCCGTGGTAACGTGAAAGGCTCTGGTAAGATTTTCGCATGCCTGTCAGGCGCCCGTGTCCGCGCCATGTGGCGTGTTAGTTCTAGGACGGAGCAGCGCAAACGGAAGCTCGGGCAGGCGGTGGCGAGGTTCTCGCGCCAGCGAGCGAAGAGACCGTAGCCATGTACATGAGGGCGGCACGCGCGCGTGGCGGAATGTCTGCAGTGCAGTAGGCCGGGGGGGGGGACGGAAGGGTGTGGAAGTGGGTGGTTCCACGGTAGGAGGAAAGACGTTGCCCTGGATGTGGGGAGGGTAGGTTTCCTGGAGCACCCCTTGAGCAAAATGCAGGAGCCGAGAACAGCCCCCGTCACCCAAGTCGTCGGGTGAGAGGCAGCCGGTGTCTTTGTTATGCGTTTCCTGGGGGAGAAGGGCGCTGCCCATGGGAACCTAAAAACAAGAGGAAATGCTAGAAAATTCTTGGAAAAGC